TGGGTCTCAACATGCCCGCCCGTACAGTACTATTCACTTCAACGCGTAAGTTTGACGGAAGAGACTTCCGTCACGTGTCGTCCGGGGAATATATCCAGATGTCTGGCCGGGCTGGTCGACGTGGAAAAGATGACCGGGGCACCGTGATTCTCATGTTAGACAATACTGTCACCCCGGATGCCGCTAAACAACTTCTCCTTGGCAATCCGGATCCCCTTAACTCTGCCTTTACGCTCTCCTATAACATGGTCCTTAATCTACTGCTAGTCGAAGACGTGAATCCGCAAATAATGCTGCAGAAGAGCTTCTATCAGTTTCAAAATTACTCTTCCATCCCGGAGTTGGAACAAAGTAAGTTCTCTGGTTCCCTGATGTTATTAATTTTGCTCTACAAACATGTCGCAGTTTGTGAACCGCTTCTTACCACAGATTATTCACTGCCATATGCTTCATTGGGTACTTTTATTTTATTTTATTAGACATTGAAGCATTTAACCCGGTTTTTATCGTTATTTAAGAGACAGACAGTAGTTCCCTTACAAGACATTGAACGTCGCAATTACAGTCAGAATAAAGCGGTAGCCATAGCCCTCCAATTGCACAAAACACTGTTAGACCGTGGCTGTGCGGACATTTTTTGCATTGGACGCTGCTTGGTAAAAAAAGGGGCCTTTCCTGTGGCTCCTGGATTCGAGAGTGAACATTTCCGTACACCCTCGTGACACGCCACTTTAATGTCTCAGAATTGTAGCGGATGGCCCATCGAACTTTATTTGACTGGTAACTGTCGTTAGTTGTCACGCTTCCACGAATAAACTGTTTACCGGGTCGATACGCAGCCAAGCCTCACTCAGCCGTGTTTTGCGGATACCGACTTATGCGTGACATTGACTTCTGTGGTGGAGGTGTATACTGTGGCCACGATGACGTCAACCAGTGTAAAGTATGTCCAGAAGAAGAGGATGCGATCACTGGAACAAGAGTTTTATTTTCCTGACATCTCGGATTCCGTCAGGAATCCTTAATCATAGGTGATGGTAGCATGGTCATAGTCATGCGCAGATAGGGTTCCAGTGGTCGCATCCTCTTCTTCTGAACTGCTTCCTGGAACTTGCATATTCTTCACTATTGGCAATAAAAGTATGTCTTGAGTTTGACCTTCAGCACCGGAACCTGCTCTTTGGTCAGGTCATAGACAGCTGTCGATAAGGGTGCGTTGGCAGTTATTATTTGAAAACTATTCAGCCATGTGTCATCCATCTGCAACCGGGATAGTGAAGGGGGATTTACATAAACTTGGTAACGTAGTCTGGTTAATACGCCGTAAAATGATACCACAGAAGCTGATGATGTGGATGCGTTGATTTGCATTTTACTTTCCATGTAATTATTTTGTTTGTTACTGTTAATGTCAAGGACCATTTTTGATTTACCGTCGGAAGCATACAGTAGCATGCCTGAATTAAGCTTTCTGGCATTCGGTGCTCAGTCAGGCTGCATTATCTGTGGTTGCTTTTTCATCAATCCCGATAGCCCTCTTATTCTACAGGTAGTCTTGATCACCTTCAGTTATGGCAGGTAATGCTTACCTAAACTGTCTGTCAGGTCCTGACTTCCCGGTGTTTTTATAGTCGTGGCTACCCACCTTTGTGATTAATATCACTAAGATCGGTGGTTAAGTTTAGGCTCCTGATATCCAGTCAAATTGACCTGAAAGCAGTTGGACCTGGCGTTATCCATTAACCTCCTTTTATGACATAAAGCACATATTGTTTGGTTTTCTATCCATTTTTAGACAATTCCTCTATCAAGTTGTCTCATTTGGGATTCCGATTCATGCCACCTAGTATCTGTTTTATAGGAATTACTTATATCCTCCCCATAGAAACGTGAACTGTCCATACTATAGGTGACTTTGTGCTAAATTCCAGGAAAAATAAGGTTATGGTTAAGGTAGGATCAACATTTATATTAGTGTTACGATTAAGATTTGGGCTATGATTAGTGCGAATTTTTACTCTTCCTGAAATTCGGCGTAAGCCTCCATGCAGTACGTGACGAGTCTTTCCTTCTTCCGTGTCCCGTCGAGGGGTCGGGGAAGGGAGGGTTCCGACATCCGTGTTTGTGTACTTAGCCTGTGGACGCCACTTTTACCGTTTTTAAAGACAACTTCGTAAACTCGAGTAAGTTAATACCTATTCTAATAACTTGTTTTCGTTGTGTGCCAAGTATTTATTCGCTGCCGATATGCGCTCTAGCAATTCGAAATGATGTTTCATTTGAAAGAAAATCCTGATTGTTTTTCTTGCTTCTTAATTCCTCTCACTTTTTAGAAATAACTCGCCTCACCGAAGAACTCGGAAGCTTGGGCTTCCCCAAGGACATCGATATTGAACAGTTATCTGCTGTAGTACAATTGCGGCGCTCCATTGAAGACTTGGAGAGAGAAAAGTGGAGTTTGGCCATGAAATTCAAGCACGTTGCCCCCTTTCTACAGCCAGGCCGCATTGTCAGGGTAAGCCGTAGTTTCTATGCACCTATCATCTTGAAATAAAACCTGTTCTTCTGCTTAATTACCCCTAAACTCTAATAGTCTACTGGCAGTCACTTTTTTGATTAAGTTTTCTCTGATAGGTAAATCGGTTCTGGACGGACAATTATGTTACATTGTGCCTGAGAAGACTGTGGTTGTGCCCAATCTATGCGGTCACAGTCGTGTTGTAAAAAAGTGCATTCCACCCGCGACAGTCTGCAACAGTTTATCTAGAGGGTGCGATCCACTATCTGCTTTTCCAGCGACCAAAACCGAAGTTCTGGGAACCATAATATCTTAGCAGACTATGTTGTGCCAGCTTTTGAGCTGCGTCGCTGTTTCTAGTTAGGCGGCAACATTGAACTCGTACAACAGACGAAGTAAACGTATTCAGGCCACCTCCGCCTTCTATATTATGGTGTCCTAAAGGGGCAAAGTCAACGAAAATGTGAATAGAGCGTTAACTGGTTGGAAAACTACGTCACATCTGC